ACTTTTAACCCTTCCTTGAGAAATGAAAGCTTTGTGAAATTTTTCCCCTCCTCGGTTTGAAAGAGAGGAAGAGAGAGCTTGGACCCCGGGATGTTAGAAGGAAAAATTCTAGATGGGAGGGAGACAAGGAGTGGCTTTTGGCTGGACTTTTTTCCTTGATAGCCACCGACTGAATCGATCTTCTCCTCCAAGAGAGACTGTATTTTAGGAGGATGCCAGTGAGCCAAGAGACCTGCTTCAGCTGGGAAAAAACAGAAGTGGAGCAAACAGAGGAAAGTTAGGGGGTTTGTTGTGGTGCCCCCTGTCCTCAAAGGAAAGAGAAAAGAAGAAGATCTCTGTTCTTGGACCCTTGGCCCCAGGGGGAAAATGGCGGGGGGGACTGTGGTCCCAAAAAATGAAAAACTGAACTGTTGTTTTTCTCCCCCTCTTGGCAGGGCATCCTTGAAAGGAAAAATCCTAAAAGCAGTCTGTCCATCCATTCATTAGTGGTGAGAGCAGTGTGCATGGAAAGGAAAAGGGTCACCATGGCAAACTTTTCTCCGGGCGGTGCCATGTGTGACATGGAAGCACAGGATGTGGAGCTGTGTTTCTTGGGGGGTCTGTGGCACAGGAGAGACTCTGTTCCCTCGAAGGACTGAGTATCGATTGTCTGGAGGGTGGAAACCTGACTGGGGTCCAGATCATGTCTCATTGTTGTTTGTTGGAGTTGGGTGGTGGGAGGAGGAATGCTTTGCAAGGTTTTAATTTTGATCTTTGTGTGTTTCTTTTTCTTTCCTTTCTTTCTTTTATAGTAGTAGCTTAATAAAGTTTTTTTTCCTGTTATTAAGCTTGGGCCTGCTTTGCTCTGTTCTCGATTGCATTTCACAGCATTCAGTTGAGAGATTATATTTTCATGGAGGCACTGGCATTGTGCCAGTGTCAAACCATGACACTTGGTAATGCATGAGTGCTTCACAATGCAGTGCTGAAGAGGGGAGCAGTATTAAAATATTGACAATTCATTTATTTACATGCTGTTTATGCAGCTCACCTCTGTCACCAAGACGTATGGGTGATTTTATCTACCCAGACATCAACTGGGAATATCATACAGAGGACTCAAACAGGTCCAGGAGATTTCTGAGCATGTTGAAGATAACTTCCTAGCACAGGTGGTGGAGTAGGAAAGGTATCCTCCTAGATTTGTTGTTTATGTGGGACTTGTAGGAAAAGTGATGGCTGGTGGTTGTGACTTGGTTGCGGTGACTCTGAAGGAGCCAAGTTTCAAAAGCTGATGATAGAAGAGAAACTGTCAGCAAAATCTGGATCCTGGATGTGTGGAAAGCAGTAGAGGCTGCTTGGTAAAGTCTCTTGGGAATCTGCTTTTGGAGGTATTGGGGACTCTGAAGACTGGTCACCTTCTCAGGGCCATCTCCTAAGAGCACAGGGGCAGGCAGTTCCAAAGGCTTGGAAGTCAAGCAAAGCTGGCCAGAAGAGCAGCTTGATTGAGCAGGGGTCTTCTAGAACTTAGGGAGGAAAGGGGAAAATGTGGGGGAGCTGGGTGACACAGGTGGAAATTCTGTCCCCAAGGTAGGGAGAAAATTAGTGCAGGCAAAGCTCAATTGGAGTTCAAGCAGGCCAGCACTGGGAAGGACAACAAAATGGACTTTTACGAATATGTTAATTGCAAAAGAAATAGCATTGGGCCATGGCTTCATGGGCTCGGTCACCTCAAAAACAGCCATGTAGACAAAGCAGAGACATTTAATGTCCTCTTCACTTCTGCCTTCAACAATGATGGGCCCTGGGAAATCTGGAGTTCTGTTGGAAAACTGTGGGGGGATGATAGACTCTCAGTCCATCCTGAGTTTGTTTGAGGCTCTCTGCTAGAGCTGGATGTGCATAAATCATGGGGTTTGGTGGGATTCATCCCAGAATACTGAAAGACCTGGCAGATGTCATTGTGGGACCTCACTCCATTTATTTTTCAGTGGTCTTGGGAGTCTGTAGAGCTCCCACTTGTGGGAATCTTTAAAATCAGAAATTAAAAGAAAAAAAAAAAAAAAACCCAGCCAAAAACCAGAGAGATCTTGATAGGCCAGAGAGGTAGGCAATCACCAACTGTATGAAAATGAACAAGAGCAAGAGCTTTACTCTCCCCCTGAGATGAGCCTATCCTGGTTTTAAATACAAGCTGTGGGACAGGAGGTTGGAGAGCAGCCCTGCACAGAGGGGTCTGGTGGTTTTGATGAAAGTTCAGTGTCAGTCACCAGTGTGCCCTGGCAGCCAGAGGGGTCACCTGTGTCCTGGGGTGCACAGGGATGGAGGGAGGGGACTGCCCCACCCTGCTCTGCACTGGTTCAGCCCCACCTCGAGTCCTGGGGGCAGTTTTGGTGTCTCAATAGAAGAAGGACATCAGAACACGCGAGTGTGTCCAGAGGACAGCCTGGGCAACCCAGGTGGGGAAAGGCCCGTAGGGCAAGGAAATGTCAAAACAGAAGAAGAATAATGTTGTGTTTTTCCCTATGATATGCTGATGGAATAGAGCTTAAACCATCTGTTTATTCATGCAAATCACATTCAGGAACTGATAATCTCTCCCTTTTATTTACTGTCTGGCATATGTATACAAAGAGTCAAGAGATGAGGCAAAATCCTTTTTATTGCATCATCTATCTCAACAAGCTCATTAGTCCTATGAATAAATTAGATGTGCTTATAATGAAAAAACTGAGCTCTGATCTCTTCCCCTTTTCACTCTGCCAGGAAATAGTTCTGGTGGTGTTTTTTGGTGCTGAGTACCTCATCCAGTTGTGGTCTGCAGGCTGTAGGAGTAAATATATTGGTTTCCTGGGGAGGATATGGTTTGCCAGGAAGCCAATATCCATCATTGGTAAGTTTTAAACTCTTTTGCAACCCTCCTGCTTGTTATAAATAAAAATGGCACCCACTCTGCAGGGGCCTTATTGCAGTTCTGAACTACAGCTACCCCTCAAGCATTTATCTGCATTGTGATTTCTCTTCTTTTCGGTTGCTAGAACACTTAAAAGATGTCTAAGGCAGACATCAACCTTGGAAAGGCAGGACTGTAAAGTGAAGAAATGACTAAACCTTGGGTATTTGCAGGAAATTGACAAGATTTTGAACATAAAGTCCTTCCTTGGGTACAAACAAATACTTATTCTTCTCAAGCTGGTCTAGTTTTGTGACCATGAGGCCTCTAAGGAATCGTTTTTACTCCACTTTGTGTTCTTGATTTATCTCTCAATTAATAAGAGCTTCTTAGAAGGTGAGTATATTAGAGAAAGTGATGGTCTCATTGAACTGTGGTTTCAAGGGGCTCTGCTGGTATTTTGCTACTACCATAGCAAATATTCATGTTTGCATTGGAGCCCTTGGGGAAGACACCATGGGTTTTGTTAAGAAAATCTAAGAATGGCTATAGCTGGTTGTGCACTCACAGGTGTCAGTACTTCATTTAACCTTTGAAATTCCCCTAAAGATATAATACATTAGAAATCAAGATTTGCTTTTCCACATCAAATGCAGATGGAACAGTGTCTGCACTGACAGAACAAGGTAAACTTGGCAAATACCTTTGCTGGGAATGATAGAATCCTACTGACTCATCCTAAAATTTTCAAATCAATATGAATAAAATACAGACACTGGAAAAAATTTAAAGGATTAGAACAGAAAGTAAAACATAATACATTAATTTTATTTATTCATTAATATAAAATATTTATTTTAAAATCAGAAAAATGTAGCCTAAAATTTCTTTGACAGTAGGGAGATTTCTTCTATGGAATTTTGTTCCCTCTAAAATTTGGATTAGTTCTTAGCAAGTTCAACATGGAAAATCTCAGGCTGAGGCAGAAGGAATGTTCTAGGGCACACAGGCTCAGTAAAAAGATGGGAGGTAGATTCTGATGCAAAGGTCTGGAAGAGGAATATTTAAAGAGACTGACAAGCAACCAAGAACTTGAAGGGAAATCAGCAGGTGCTGGAAATATGTGGGATTGAAAGGTATCAGAGAAAGGGCAGGATATGTGAAGACCTAGACTGTAAAATAAGGCTGTTTGGAACAGTAAATTTGGATTAATAAGGGAAGTCTAAGCACTGGAAACTGGGATGAAAACTAGGAAGAGAGAAGAAGCAGAAATAGAAGAACAGGTTTGGAGAAAAAGAAAGAAAAAATAAATATCTCCACCACGAAGAACACTTAGAGAAAAGAAGAAAGTGCAAAATGAAAAAATCTCTTTAACTCTCACTACTTGGTTGAACTAATTTTCTAAGCATCAGTCTTTTCCATCTTTAGTGCTTGTCTTCAGATGGATATGTGTATGTCTGACAATTTAGTAAACACATGATGCATCATTTGCTAAAGGGCAAAGATCTGTGTTATGATGTGATGAGTAGAAAACCCACCCTAAATTCCAATGTTTGCAAATATCCATTTTCACACATACATGATAAATGAACAGTATAAAAAATTTGCAGTCAGGCATTGAAAAGCTAAGATGAATCCCAAATGGAAGCTCTTTCTCTAGCCTCATCCCTCCATTTATTAATTTTAATTTTAATTTTAATTTTAATTTTAATTTTAATTTTAATTTTAATTTTAATTTTAATTTTCAGTTTCAGTTTCAGTTTCAATTTCAGTTTCAGTTTCATACATGCACAATTAGTGTAGTGCACTATTTAAACTGACTGTGTGCTTTCCCTTGAGGAGGAATCCAGCTTTTACAGCAAAAATCAGATCAATACTGGAAATTAATTCAACTCTGAGAGTGAAGGATGCTGTTGGTTATAGAACTTCTGCAGTATTTGTTGCAGCAACTACATGTTTTTAAATGAGGCAGGAGAACGTGGAGAGGAAAAAACAAGTTAACCTTGCTGAAGGAAACTGTTGTTGCTGCTCAGGTTGGATCCCATCCTGCCTCTTGCCCAGGCATCCCATGGAAAGTTGGTTAAATCAGTTTTCACAAGTGGGCCTCATTTTCTGGATGTCCAAAGGAAGACTTTGAAGTTGGGTTGCAGAGGTTCCAAGCCCTCACAGCTGCAAATGAAGTCAGCAGGGCTGGTGTTTTGAAGTGTTGTATAATGCTAAATGCTCTGAAGAATAAAGTACTGCCTGTTTCAAACTGGCAAAGGAAAGTTTAACAAAGTTTTTCCTCATTCTGCCTACCCATTTATAATGCTATCCTTTATTTTTTTATTTAGAATTTGAAAGAGAAGCATCTAGATGCTCTAAAGAGGTTTACCACAGAAATGCCTGTAAGGAAATGTAAAAATATCTTCTCAGAATAATGTTACTGTAAGGTTCAATAATTAAAAGAAATGGACATGCTCACTGAACTAGGATGAGGGAAAATAAGGGATGCTGGTACTGTAAACATGATCTGTCATTTGCATTGTATAAAGCTGAAACTGTAAACTGCAGAGTTGTGGAAACAAAAAAAAAAATAAAAAAGGAACTCAGGAAACAATTATTTTTTCATACAAATATAGACAGTATCACAAAGTAAACTCACAATTCTGATTTTTTTTTTAGCTAGCCTGTGTTCTGACAGTTCCATTAGGTTTGAAAGCTTGGCTTCACAGCTGTGATACAGCTTTCAAACTAAGTGTATGTGTGTATGTATGCATGATACTTAACTTCATGGATTTCATTATTGAGTGATGCAAACTCTTGCATTTCCTCTTAGATCAGAAGCCTTGACCCAAAATATGGGTTCATTTCTAGGGTGCACAAATGCCTTTCCATTTTTTGTGGCAAGCAGCCTAATCTGTCAGGTTCTTTGAAAGGTCTGTTACTGAATTCATCCTGGAAGAAACTGTAGCCACTGGGGTTTTGATGTGAAACTATTGCATAGACTTAACATGCCCACCAAATTTCAGCTAATTCTTTTTTGAGGTGCTTTCCTTAGTCTGTATTTGTTGTGGTTTTTTTCAGTGCTAAGATTAAAAAAAAATAAAAACAAAACAAAAAAAAAAACAACAAAAACCAAATTAATATATTTTTTCTTCTTTTGATAATTTGTTTGTTTGTTTTTCAACAGATCTGATTGTGGTAGTAGCCTCAATTATTGTTCTGAGTACAGGATCTAATGGGCAGTTGTTCGCCACTTCTGCAATAAGGTAGGTTCTCCTGTCAGTGCAGCTCTTCACTTCCACAGAGGTTATTAGGCGTGTTCTGAATGTCTAATTCCCAATAAACTACATGTCTGATTTTTCTAATACAGATAAAGTTACTCTATAGAAGCACTGGGCAATGGAGGTCTGGGTGCTGTTGTGCTTGGTGACTGCTTGGAAAAAGAGTGCAGGAACAAGGCAAATGAAAAATGGTGGGAATGCTGAAGCCAAGTGGAAAAAATGAAACATTGTGTACGATTTAAAACATCAAACAACTGTCTCTCTGAGACAAGAGGGAATTACAGAGCATGGGTTTATTTAAGAAGTAATCCAGACAGTGCTTAACTCAGTGCTTTTTGAGTATAATTACTTTGTTTAAAGAGTAATTATGCTTTGGTGGATTTGTTTTGCACGAGTAACTCACACCGTACATGAAACAGAAACATTTGATGTCCACAGTGTTTGTTCAGCTTGCATCAAGTACTGCAGGCTTGTTTTGGGAGGTGAAGTGAGTAAACAGAATGATAAGCAGTAGGTGTACTACTTCCTCTTCCTAACCTAACTTGCAAGATGTCTTGCATATTTTGTCACAAGCCTCTGCTTTCCAGTGCAGTGGAATCACTGGGAAGTGAGAATGTCCAGTACTGTCTAAACTGACCAGCTGTGTGGGCAAACACTGGGGAGAACTACATGTACAGAGTATTTTAAAGGTAATTCTTACCATAGAACATTCATCCTTACCTGATGGTAAAGACTCCACCCAGGCAGCAGGAATATCATCTCCTATAGGAAAAAAGGAAGATATATGTGGAAAATACCAAGGGTTGAGGTTTTTAAATATAACTAGAAGCATAGGGAGGACTTCAATGAAAAGGCCCTGTGTGTTTCTATGTGAGTCCAGTGGGCTGTGGGCTCAGTGAAGCTTTTCCCAGTGCTAAGTCCACAGTCACTGTCCTACACCTCAGAATGCTCTCTGAACCTTAACCCACAACCCTGCAATGTAATCATTGCTCCACAGAAAAGCCAACAGGGTCAGGCAAGTCTAAATTAAAAATCAAAACCTATATCCATGAAAAAATCTTGAAGATTGCTAAAAAGAGCCAAAAATACTTCTAGTAAAAAATTTTCAGGTAGATGAATTCAGTGTTCACCCTTTCCTGCTTTTCACTGGATTGTTTCAGGGATAAGACAGTAAGATGACTGTAGGCAAACAAAATTTATTGTTAAAAGAGCAACTAAATGAAATATTTACATGAATAAAATTATGCTGAAGAACCATATCAATAATTACTTTTATTTAGTTGAAAATATTTGGAGTTTATGATTGATTTAATTATTCTCCTAAAACACATAGGACTCTATTTCCAGTGATATCAGATATATTTCAGTAACTTACAAAACAAGGATTTCAGTATGCCATGTTTGATTCATATTCTCCTTTTGGCAAATAGAGAAAAAGGTTTGCTTACCTTTTTGCTGATTTATGTTAGCAAAGCTTGAAGCATTTGTTTTCCTTGGAAAGGAGGCATTTAAAGTTTGGAATCATAGAAATGATGCAGATTTCCTCTGATTTTGTTTGTTTTCCCATTAAATAATTGTTTCATGGTCAGTATTTCTGAATAAATTTGACTATAATGAAATGTGATCTAAACACAGAGATGCTTCAAGCCTGAGACACCACCCCAGGAAGGGGCAGTGCTATCACAGTTCTTGAACATGGCAGTGTGTTAGTGGACATAATCAATTGTGGGTGGATAAGACAGTATTGTCCTCAAGCATTTTTATGTGATTATTGCATTTATTTTAATGCTTCACTTTCCTTACAAGGGGATTCGCTTTCTCCAGATCCTTCGGATGCTTCACGTTGACCGCCAGGGAGGCACCTGGAGACTCCTGGGGTCAGTGGTTTTCATCCATCGACAGGTACCCAGCCTTTAAACATTCCCTTCATGTCATTGGCTTCAGTGAATTCTCTCTGTGGGCTTCAAATCATGGTCTGGTGTCTTGGTTTGAAAAGACAGGTGTCTGCTAAGGAAGGCAGGAGCTTCCCTTGAAATGGAAAATGTAGAACCCCTCCCTCCAAATTATTGTAATTTTGAAATTAAAAGGGTCTCAGGCAAAGATATGGGGATAGGAATAACTAGGAAAACTAAAAATACAAATTCAATACTACAAACATCAACAAAAAACCCCTGACAGAGTCAGGATACAATCTAATGCCCTGTGAGTCAGGATGTTGGCAGCAGTGCAATTGAAATGGTGGCTGCAGTGCTCATGCAGTGGTTCTCTTGGAGCAGTGATCCTGTAGAAAGGTGGAGTTTTCCTCTGAATGTCCTGTGGTGGTGTAGATGGATCTGGATCTGATCTTCCTCTGGGAATCCAGTGGAAAGCTGCTCCTCTTGGAATCCAGCGGGGAAAAAGGTTGCTGTGGTGTTTGAAATGTCAGATTATATCCAGTTAGGAATGCTTGGCTCCTCCCCCTGGGCAGAACATCTCACAATGGTCTGATGTAATTTTTATCAGCCATGCAGTGACACTTAATGGCCCTTTAACAGCAGATGTCGATGTCTCCCCTAGGGAGGGAGGATTGGTTTGTGGAAGAGATAAAGAAAACTGCCTGATTAACAGAAGATAACTGCCACACCTCTAACAGATGGCAAATAGAATACACACATTGCCTTGCAACCCAGGACAGCTGGTTTAAATTAACTGTTACATCAAAAGTCCATTGTGTATTTCTTCCTCCTTTTAAAATGGGAAGGTATTTTTGCTATTCAGGGCAGTGGCTAAAAGCAGGATATAAACACCAGTGTTTGGGTTTATTAATTAACTGTTGTACTCTGCGATGTTATTCGTCAATGTAATTTCTTAAATGCAGTTTTGTGGGCTGCCTTTCGTATTGCAAGTATTCTCCACTATCTCTGCAGAAGATGTGTTCCTAGCTTGGTTTTCCTGGGGAAAACCAAACACTAGTGGGAAAGCCTTGCTAGAAGAAGTCAATTATTTAAATATTTCTGTTGCATTCACCTTGAATATGAAGTTTTCTAATTCATTCTGTAAATAAAGAAAATGAACTGTTATGATGCTGTGTAAGAAAATTTACTTTTTCAAGGATGTGGTCACAGAGTCAAGTGTGGCTATAAATATGTGTATGTCTGCTAAAGCTTTGAAACAACTTTTCTGTATGAAAGCTCATTAAGCGGCAAGAGTTTAAAAGTTTTGCTGCAGATTTTAAAATATTTCTAATTGAAGACTTCTTTTTGAGTCTTCATGGAATCTCTTTATGATTAGCTTTATCAATATAATGGAAAATTATATCATTAGCCTTGAAGTCTTGCTTTTCATGGCATGCTGTGGAGGGCTAATACTCTGCTATTAATCTCCACATCTCACTTGTTAGGGTGATTAACTTGTTCTTATGAGTGTAGATTTGTTCTCCACATACTGACACAGTCACAAATTTCCACACAGACATTTTTTAATTTTCTATTTGGAAAACTGTTTTTCTGGGACAGAGAATGTGCTGCTCTTAATCCAAGCCAATAATTTAATATTAAAAGTTAATTTTCTTACTTTTATTTTTTTCTCCCAGTACAGTAGGAACCTTTATGTCACAATGGCTGTGCAGAAGTGATGGACACCAAAGTCCTGTGGGATAAAGTCTCCTTTCATACTGTACAACAGGATGACTTTCAAGTCTATGTGGTTGTCATTGATTATGCTTGCATTGCCTGGGTATCTTTCTAGGGCAGGGCTGATGGCCAAATAACTTTCTCAGCATTTGCTACTCTTACTGACAAAGCTGTTTGAGAACATTTTTCTCCTGTGGGTGTTCAGAGTTTTAGTCAAGAATCAAGAAATATTCTCTCCAAAATACAACACTTAAATCTTATGTGTCACAAGCATAAGAAAGTTCAATCGTTTAAAAGGGAAAAAAAAAATCTTGGAAAATAATTTTATGAGTAAAGGCTCCTGAAGTTCTGCTTATCCAAAGAAGTGATTATGGTGATAAATAAAACTCCACAGATCTGTAGTACTTATCCAAGCAGATCACCCACTAACACATTAAGAAAAAAAATACCAAGCACATAGCTCTGTATTGACATTGGACAAGTGTAGCTGAAACCCTAACACAGTACCAAACGGAAGGAAAAATGGAACCTTTATTCTTGTCCAGCCTTTGAAAGAAATTTTTGTTTAAAAATAAAAACAAAACAAACCAAAAATACCTTAGCTGCTTTTTTTTCACAGGCAGAGTACAAAGTTCTCGTTTATTTTTGTTTGTTTGCTTGGTTGTTTTTTTTTTTTTTGTTTGGTTGGTTGGTTTTTTTTTGTTTTTTGGGTTTTTTTTGTGTGTTTGATACTCTTTCAGAAAACATGGGCCCCTAAACCCTTAAGCAATTGTGAGAAAATGTATTCACATCTTGGTGCCCTGCAAAAATAGCAAGCACTTGTACCATCCTGGGCCTTGAAGAACTTAATAAAGTTGTCACCAATGATTTTAATGTGTTTTGGAATTTAGCATATAGCTCAATTAGCTCACTCAGGCCTGGTTTGTTGGGATGATCTTCTATTTTCAGCAGGCTGAGCTTATATACCAGCATTTCTTGCCAAAGGCAACAAAACGTGAGTCAATATCACATGTGGTGGTGTAAAGCCATGGAGAAATACTGCAGCTTGCTGAAAAACCAAGTTAGCCATTCAAACTCCAGCTTGTGAGCCTCTAGGTTGGTTTTACTGCTTCCTCACCTTGCTTTGTGAGGCCTTTCACTGCTCTTAGGATAGAAGGAATTCTCATATTTTTTCCAAGTGTTGAACTTTGTATTGTGTGATCCTTATTTTAACTGAAAATATAGCTGAGTTTAACAAATGTGCTGACTCAACTCTCTCAGTATTCAAATATGCCTTTGTGCATTTCTTGTTCTTACTGTTTCCTGTGTGTGTGAATCTGAAAGTCCCTACTGCAAAGAGCCATTTGTTTTAGGTAGCACTCTTTATTCTTAAGCTCTTATCTAATAAAACCCACATAAATATGTAGTTTTAAGGCCTGATGCCTGCAGAATACCCTTTATTTTGTGCTTATATCTCATGAAGCATGTGTTATTTAAAAAGCTTCTGGCTCTCCCTTAAATGAAGCATGCATGCCATTGCTGCCATTAATAATGTTGTTCTTAATAATTAGAGTCTCTCTATACATGTGGAACATGGATTGGTGACATTTAGAGTAAGTCCAAAGCAGTTGCATTTTCATCTGGCCCTTATTTAAAAAGAATTCTATCTTCAGATGAATAGTACTGGAGCTGAGAGGTGCCAGTGGTGAAATAAACTCAGTAGTTCTCAGTAGTTGATATTTCAGCCCCTTTGAAAGGATTTCATAAGACTCTGCTGCTTTCCTGCCTGCTTCCCAAAAAGCCAGCACTTAAACCAGAATTATTCCAATTATCATCTACAGTAAATTGTGTATGTTAACAGAAGGAGCTTTTCAAAGCAAGTCATATCTACAAGTACCAGTGCTCTATTATCATGAGATAAAGGTGAGAAAATAAAGGTGACCAGCAGAGAAACTACTGAAACCCCAGGTTTTATTTCCTTTTTCGGCTGTCTTGTTTAGCAAACAGGCCTGCAAAAAGTTAAGGCTTAAAAGACTTGGCTATGAGCAAGACAAAATACTATCAAAATTCATTATTTAGGTCATCATTAAATGATTAGAGGAAAAACACCCATTTTTCTTTGTGCCAAGACTACTTAAAGGTTTCCTGAACCCAGATTTTAATTAGTGCTGTAGGAGATGGAAGAATATTGACATTTCCTGCTGCTGAATGTTAGTACTTGATAAGAGGGCTACCTTTGCCCAGAAAGCTCTTACAGGGAAATGAAAAGAAAGAAAAAAGAAAATCTGAGGGAAGTTTGATGATAAAATTGAACCCTCCCTTACAAACAGTTTAAGAAACATGTGTAGAGTATTACAGAAAACCTGTGAAAACCTGACATACTTTAAAAGCAGGGGCAACCTTTCCTAGTCAGGTTTTTATTTTAAATGTCTCATATGGTAGTATTTTAATTCCCTTATTGGCTGGGACCCAAGGAGAGAGAAATGATTGTCAAGAACTTAAGATGCCACTGAAGACGTAGCACAACATTGTTTCCCGATAAAGATGGCCAAATTTGTGCAAAGAAAATAAAGGAATGATGCATGCATGTAAGCTTTAAGTAATTAGAATGAGCTGTTTTCCCTCATAACTAGGTGTTGGATTTTCCTGAGGGGCAGGTGGATATCTTATTTAGCACTGCTTTTAAAAGCTTTATGTGGTTTTGCATCTGTGACACCACACCTTTTGTCTTGTTTAAGTGCACAAGCACTTTCTTTTTGTTCCTGACTCCTGTGAGAATCCTGTAGCTAGAGTTACAGCAGGTCTGACACAACTCTCCTGCCCAAAAATCTTTAGAGAAAATCTTTAGAGAAAATGGTATATATGCAAGGACTGTAACATGCCCTGACAGAAGTCTGCCCTAGCCCTAGCCCTAGCCTTGTCCGTCAGGACTGAAAACATGACACGACATCTACCTAGCATATTTTATCTTCAGATTTTATTTTAACATGAAGCTGTTGAGCATCACTTTACAGTCTTAAGCAGTCTAAACATCAGATACACAAGTTCACTACTCGGGTATAGCCATAATCACAAGACATGGCTGCTATGTCTCAGTGCACTCTTTAGAAAGGGCATTTCTAAAGCTGCTTTGCTACTTTTAAAATGTTTAGGCAGTTAGTATTTTGAGTAGGCAGTTAAGTGGAATGATTCCTATTCCATAATTAGGAGAGATGTCCCACTCTGCATTTAGCTGCCCCAAGGATCAAGCCCAAAATGATAGCTTTTTGAACTATTTAGCCTGGTATGAATAAAATCCAAGTCAGTATTTTAGCTGTTTTACTAGAGACAAATGTCATACCTGAAATATAAAATATTAATTTTTCTGCTGTGATGCAAAAACCCCACAGATATTTGCAACATTTTACAATTATAGATTATATAAAATATATATATATATATGTATGTATGTATATAGGATGAAAAATTGTTTGTTTTCTCTTTTAATAGGAACTCATAACCACGCTGTACATTGGATTCTTGGGATTAATTTTTTCATCCTACTTTGTTTATCTTGCTGAGAAGGATGCAGTTGATGAGGATGGAAAGACAGGTTTCTCCAGCTATGCTGATGCCCTTTGGTGAGGTGTGGTAAATCCTCACCAACAAAATGTGTGTGCAAACAGGGCTCAAGGTTTTCTGTTCAAGTAGTGATCTTTTCAGAAAAACCTGGCTCTTCTTTCTTTGCAGAGTGTATTTCTGTAGAGAAGCTTGACAACTTCTTCAGAGGGATACAAGCAAGTATATAAGAAATACAATTAAATTATTATTAAAATTACTATTATTAAAATTTTTTTGTGAAACAGGTTAGCAAGTTCTTAGCAAAGGACACTGATTACTTACAGATATTGCAGTGGTGTGTCTTTTCTTTAATTTGATTTTTGTTCAATATCTGTTCCCCCCCTCCATCCCTAATCTCCTCCTCTCCCCAGCTGTCAGGCTTCCCTAGCTCTCCCCTAACCCCTTCCTCTCCAAATTGTCAATCCTCCCTTTCCCTGACCCTTTCCCAGGAACCTTCCCTGTCATTCATCCTAGCCCCCTCCTCTGCTTCCAGAGCATTCCCTGTCTGTTTGGTGAGACTCGAAACCCTATTGCTTATTTTGTGTTATTTCACTTCCCTGCTTCCCCTGATAGGTTTGTGATGGGTTAATTCTGCCCTAAACTCCTCCCCTGCTGTTCCCTCATTGGTTGCTGTTCCTACACCCATCTCCCTGAATTCTTGTATAAAACCTCTGCTCCCGCTCCCGAGGGGGTCTTGGGGCTCACTGAATAAAACCATCCTGTTCACCCCCAAGTCCCATGTCACCTCTGTCTGTTCCTGCACCACCGACTGGGACTGCAGAGCTTCGCAGGGGGAGCGGCCGCCCGTTCTCTTCCCTCTTGCCACCCAGCACGGCACCGCTCGGGGTATCGCGGCGAGGGGAGCGGTACTGTGATACAACAAGATATGAAAATTCCACATCTAAAAAAAGTAAAAATTCCCTTCAAAAATGATATCACTTCCTTTAAATTCTACTTAATTATCTGCAAAAGATGCATAACTTAAAAACATATTCTATATGTGAAAGTCGGGTTAATTACCCTATTTTTTTTTTTAATCTTTTCATGTAAAACTCATTCTCTCAGTAATAATTCAGACCTTGATGCAGGTTATAGGTTCCTGTTTTTTGGTTTTTATCTTTAACTTGGATGCTGCAAAAGTATCTACTTCAAAGAAGTACACAGAATTATATACTATATTACATGTAGCCTAAGTCACCACTCTGTATGTGGTTCACTCACTTGAACCGCTTTTAAACATGAAATTTTAATATTTTAAACATGAAATTCCTGTCACTAGGTTGTCAAATATTCATTTCATCTGCAGACTATCACCTATGACTGCGCTAAACAGTACAAACCCAGAAGAATCAAGTGAAAAAAGAAAAATCCACTCAATGTCCAGATGAACCTGATGATCTAAGGTGCTGGGAAGCAATGAAACCATGAACCAGCCTATAGAGCTATCACTTGTTAAAGTCCTCAGTGGAAATTGGATACAATTTTAAGAATATGAAACCTCATGGTTATAGCTGTGAAGCAACCTGTAGCTAGTGGAAGAAAAGAATGAGTATCTCAGCAGTAGAAATTGTGCTGCATTTTAAATGAAGAACAATCAGGGTATAACTGAAAAATACCCCATGCCAGCTTTACGAGAGCAAACCAGTACTCTTTTTCTCACTTATTCTTCCATTATTTGAGTAATTCACCTCAAACACCAGTGGATCACTTTTAGCATCCAGTTCTATGCATGTATATTCATGCACAAGTAATTTCTGCATGTGATAAAAATTCCATGTGGACCCAGTGTACTCTTCCCACCTTTCCTTGGTTTTTTTTTTTTTTTAGCTCTAGTTTTCCAGAGTTGCTTCATTAGTTGCACTGAATATTTAGATATGAATTACGAATCACTATAAGATATTGCATTGATATGAGTAAAGAGTTAAAAAATTAAGGTTAAAAGAGTCAGAGTGTGTTTCTACAACAGTATTTTGGACTTTGGGAATTTAAAAGGAGTTATGAAGACCATGACTTAAAATGCACAGTACCTTGTTGAGATAGATGACTTGGGATCTATGTTTCAAAGTGTGTGGATCAGTGGGTTTTGTTATTTTCCAAAACTTGACTTGCTTTGTGTAGCAGCAAGATAAAATCAGCTCCTCTTTCTCTGGCTGTGTGAGGAACACTGCTCAAATTGTTGTTAAAGCTTTTCAGGCATCTAGGCCTCCTCAGCATATAGTGAATCACGGTGCAGGTGCAGTTCACAGCTGGGAACAGGAACAAAGGACAAAGTGAATCAGTTTCTTTTCCTTTCAAATCTCCTGGAACATAGAAACACAGATGTGGAGTTACTAGGGAGTGAAATTTGATTTTTACTTTTGCCTTTCAAAACTGAACCATTGGGAAAAAAAAATAATCTTGGTTCCAAGTATTTGAAAGTCTTATGTGTCTGACAAAAACCACAGAGTATATTATGGGGAACATTTTGCTTTGAGGAGAAAGTGCAAGCTTGTTGAACTTGATACAAATGACCTGAAAGGTTTCAATACAGGGAAAATAGAAAATAAAGAATGAATGAGAGTTGGAATTAATTGCTAACTACATTCACCTGCTTCAGTTAAAGGCAAAGTTTTTTTCTCCTAGATTTGGTAGGCAAACAAGTTAAACTGCAAAGACATATCAAAGGCTTGTATTTCACATTAAGCCGTTCTTGGAAGTTGTAGCATGTAGGGCATATGTAAAAGCACTTCCAACAGCATGGGCAGTCTGCCAGAATTGCAACCTGTGTCATAGCAGTTGCCCTGTCCCTTTGGGGTATTTTTTTCCTTGAGGAAAGAAGAGCACATAGGAAGCTTCTCTTCTGCTGGCCCTTCCTGCTTGCCTCTTGCTGCTGGTAATACTTATTTGCCTTGCTGCAAACTCAGCTATTCCGTACCACTGGACTGAAGTTAAATACTTGCTCCAGTGAATTGGTGTTAATTGGCACAGGTACTTGGGATCAACTGCTCAGAATTTCCAGCAGTAAATTTCCATGCCAGAGGTAGTAGTTGGAATTCCTTTATATTTAGTGTGGTTTTTTGAGGTGTGCATTTCGGACTCCTCAGACCTGAGGACACCTGCCTGTCTTTAAACATCTGAGCAGCCCTGTTGACTTCTACTAAATCAGAGTTCTTCCCTTTTTGAGGCATACATGTGTGTGTTCAGAGCCTGTGTTAGAGCCTGTGCACACAGCTGGAATGTACCATCATAAATCCCTGTTACAAGAGGTGTCATTTTTCAGAGTCAAGCTCTCCAACATTCTCTGTTCAGAAATACTGATAACTTTGGGATGTATGAGTAGAAAAAAAAAAAATCATGATTAAGAAAGCCAGAGAATTACAATATTTATAATCCTTTCCATGCATTCAACGTGCTAATTAGATTACCAACAAGGAATCCTCTTAAGGTAGCCAGAGAAAAACTTCCTGAGACATGTTCAGGCACCTGCAGGAGTCTGCCAGCCAAGTGCCTGCTGTGGCAGTGGAAAATTCATCTTTTCTGTGGTTACAGCTTTCATGCTGTCTTCCATAGTAAAATTAAGGCAGCTCAGCATTACTGCATTTTGGTTTTAAGTCCTGGGTACTGGAGAACTTAGTGGAAACACCAAGAAAAACCACCCCAGAAAAACCAAACCACCCCCAAAAAACCAAGAATCCTTTCATAAGAAAAAAGAGAGGAAAAGAAGGGAAAACCCACTAACTTTGAATGGTCATCTGGGTACATTGAGGAGCTGAAGTGCTGTTAAAAAAACAGCTTTAACTTCCTTCACTGCCCAGAAACACATGCTGCATTTCAAAGTTGAAGTTTTGGGGGTTTGATTTAATTTTGGGGACTGACAAACTCATTGTCCTGCTAGTAGCACACAGTACCTGAGTCACTTGGCCACCCACATTAAATCTAGACAAACACCTGGCAAGACAGAGCTCCTGCTGAGAGCATTTTGTAGCTCAAAAGAGCAATATTCATTCAAGGATATAGCTACTACAAAGTGGTCTTCATCAAGTGGAAAATTCATGATGGATAAACACAAATATAACTATTTTTTGGAACTTGGAAAAACTAAGTTTGGTACTAGTTGCTGATTTTTTCCCTTCAAATCTTTCTTCCAGCTCTGAGAGTAGAAGGAAACATATTCTTCCCATGCCTTTATTGCTTGATAGTTTCTTCTGAGAAGACTATTTTTGCATAACATCTAAGCATTTGTCAGCAATTTTTTCCATAAAAGGCAGCCTCTTTATAGTCAGTGTAAATTTACATATTTTTTTAAGTCTGTTTTGACTGTGTTTCTGCTACCATTCAAGGCAAAGTGAAGGGAGGGGGACTAGGTTTGGGGCTGGTACATCCAAATAGAAGTACATTTTTTCTATTTACAGCTCTCCCCAGTGGTTAGTATTGATGACAGAGCCCTTCTGTTCCTCACCATAAGGTTTTCACTTCTGAGGGATACAAGCCATGTTTCTCACACCATTTTATGGCAGCATCAGAGCTCTGAGGATGCTGAAAACCCAACACCCCCATGTCCTAGGGTCTGTGCTTTAGACCCTGGTCTGTGAGTCTTGTCCTGCTGTAACCATGGTGCTGAGGCCCCTGTCAGCTGTGATTCCTGTGGCTTGCTCTGGGTTCTTGCTTTGGGATCAGCTGATTATCCCCTTCCATTGGGCTCCTTGTTACATCACAAACCTTTCTGATGAGCCAGTCTCCACCTGGACCCTCTTTTCCCCCTGTACCAGGTCCTTCCTGACCTCTGGCTCATGATGAATTCTCTTTCATCCTGCTGGGGCTCTTCAGGAATAGCCCCAAACCTCTATCCCACTCAGGCCCTCCTGCCTTTGGGGCTTTTCAGAGCTGGCCTGCTACCTCTGCAGCAAGTCCGTGTAGAGCAAAGTCCCTACAGGTCCCAGACCTGAGGGCACTAATTGTCCTAATGACCCTGACCAGCATGACCCCACCGGTGGTGCTCCATGCACACCATTTCAGCAATATTTCTTCATTTCAGCACAGGAGAGATTGTCTGTAGCTCAACTGCATCTGTGTCTAGGTGTGGGCTCCCTCAATCCTGATTTCCACCCACAGGATCATGCCCTGCTGTTGTCTCCTTCCTGTGGGCCCATGTGCTGACCACTTGATCCAAATCCTGACCTATGGCTTGCTGTCAGACCTGCCTCGTTGTGTGTCTGCATTATAATCCATACTCCGGGGTAGACCCGGTTGCGCTTTCTGCTTCTGTTTTGCTTGAAAGGTCCTGGGTTCTGACTGAAGAGATGCTGCCCTGCTGCTTCTGTTGTCTCCTTTGACTGTGAGCCCCTTCTCCCTGGACCTGATAAGCAATATCAGATATAGGTTTAAGCACCTCATGGCTTAAACACAGTTCTGAGTGGCCAGGTCCTGTGTTAGTGGGGGAGGAAGAAAACTAAGCCCAGGCCTCAGCTCTGTTCAGGTCTAGCTCTAGTGGCAGGCTGACTTTGGGAGATAACAAATCCTGGAATGCTTGTGTGTTCTGTCCTTTTTCACTGCTGTCAGCATGGGTTTTGGTATCCCCAAATCCACACACTTGATTCACACCTGTCTCCTGATGTTTCACTAATTACGTTCCCCTTTCCATTATTTTTTTCTCATACTTTTTGGAGAAAAAACCACTAAAACAGATGTTTGTTCCTGGTGCAGGTAACAGTCACAACAATTGGCTATGGAGACAAAGTTCCCCAGACGTGGATTGGGAAGACAATAGCTTCCTGCTTCTCAGTGTTTCCATCTCCTTCTTTGCCCTGCCAGCTGTAAGTGGAACTTGAATCTCTTCATTAAAGCTGTGTCCACCTCTGTGAATGCCTCTGGCTCCTGTAACCTGTGGATCACAGCAATGAACACATGTTGTTTATTGAAGTTATACAATTCTGCTGTTGATCTACTCAATTTCAAATTTATTTGTTGGAATAAATAGAACTATGACAGTGTAGACATTTGAAAATTAATTTTATAAAATATTTTATTAAATGTCTGTTTATTCCAGGTGTGAAGTACTTTATTTAGGTATGTGAAGCAATATACATGTCTGAATAGTAATTTTGTTACTTTGTTAGGGTATTCTGGGGTCTGGTTTTGCCCTAAAAGTACAGCAGAAGCAACGTCAGAAGCATTTCAATAGACAAATCCCAGCTGCAGCTTCCCTAATTCAGGCAAAGCCACAATGGTAAAATACTACAATACCTCAGAGTTTATTGGAGAGGGAGTATGGCCTGGAAGTTCAGGTACTGAGAATCAATATTCCTAAATTTATTATAAATCTATAAATTGTGTTTAGCCACTTTGCCATTTTGATCCACGTCAGTGAGAACATGAGATAATTGCCTCTCCCTTTCTGGAAGCTGCACTATACCTGATATTCATAGGCATAATGACACTAACTGGATGTAGTGACTATATCTAGTGAAATACTAAAAACACAATAAAAATCTTCATTATAATATTTTATTCATAATTTCCTATTTATGTTCTTTTAGGTCCGGTGCATCTGCCAGATTCTGAGGTGATGACTGTACAAACACATGAAAAAACACACCTGGTTTTAGAAAAATCTTCCAGCATAACATTCCATATGATAATATAAAGAATTAAATAGCACAATGCACAAACACTCACTGTGGCACAGTACAGGAAAACGAAAACACAGTATTCAGTGGGGGATTCACTTTTGTAGGGATTGAGTTTGATTTATTTGGGATTTTTTTTTTTTTTTTGCTGTGGGTAGAGTTTGATCCCAGCTTGTGAGGGGAGCGCTCTGAATATCTCTGTGTGATGCATGTGCGTGTCCTCATGCAAATTGCATCCACCATGGTTGTACTTTATCAGGAGTGGTGTTTACCTGGGGGCTTTGTTGTCAGTTGGATTTGCTGCAAAATTTGCCATGCAGGATCCCAGTGGCTGCTCCTGAACTGAGCTTCTTTGGGTGTCTTTCCAGACCCTGTGGTGCTGCTACGCAGCAGAGAAACCCTGCACCTCCACAGGCACCTGGAAGATCTGTGTGACAGCTCTCGTGCAAAATCCCAAAAAGCCTCCAGCGCCATCTAGTCCCCGTCTGAGAAAACAGGTGAGAGCACTACCAGGGTTGGCTCTCTGCTTGCCTTTAATTTTCAATTATAATTAACTTGCCAAAAGCCTCGTGAAGGGCCTGAGAAGTTTGGACACCTGAAATACGTTTATTTTCCTCCTGCCACAGCCTAAGTTTTGTTTTCCTTAAAATATTCATAAGGAAAGAATATCTTCTAACTGAATTTGCCTTGTTGGTCAGACAGGTACCAATTCTCCGTAGTTCTATTCCCATTGGAGTCTCCTACTTTCTCAAAGCACAAGACAATGGTGCCACTTTCCTACTCCACATTCATTTTTCAAGATAGTTCATAACAGAAGAAGGAGCAAGCCAGTTTAAAAAAATGTGTTCAGGCTTAACACATGGCTGACAGCAGCTACTCTTCTCTGAAATACTCCATGATGCTTTTATTTCTTTAGAAATTAGGGCAAATTCCCGGGCTGCGAGTGCAGGCAAGCGGAACAGTGTTTGTCAGCAAAGGTGGAATTGCCCACACCCAGCTCTGTGTTGTCATTGCCAAACTTATCAGAAGGGCAGAGCCTGCAGCAGGTCCAGCTCAGGGACCCAGCATTTCCCAAAGGATGCTCAAGGCCTGCCTTTAGGCAGCAGCACCCCACTGGAGCTGCTTCCCAGGGAAGAAGGGCTGTACAATTCCATCTGGCACATGGAGGAAGCTGAAGCAGACTGATCTGTGTGCATGTCTGCATTTTGGTGTTAGTGTGACCTTGCCTTGTCACAGCTGGGGGCAGGAAAAACAGGGGGAAAGGGGTAAAGCAGAAGTAGGACTCCTGTGTGTGTTGCTGAACAGCAAGCAATCCATGGTTGGAAAGATGGGAAAAATATATTTTCTCTCTGTTTTCTCTAGTGTTTTCTCTAATATATTATTTGTCTGAACCTCACTGAGCCCTGCGAGCCCTCATTTAAGAGCACAGTAATGGTTCTTTCACCTCTTACCAAAGGATCCTCTTCTCTTGTTATTTCTTGGTCTGTGACTTCCTATTTTAAGGTCTCAATGCATACTGATCATTTTGTGTATGTTGTAGCATTTTTTTCCTCCAGAGGACTCCTATTTTCTTTTCCTGCTATAAGGGCCTGTGATCTTTGCTTTTAGAAGTATTTTGATGCATGTCAGTGCATCCACTATCCACAACAAATACCTATTTCTACCATTTTTCCCCCATTTAATTTTGAATATGCATTTGTTTAACTGCTGCAGAGCTGAGCAGAAGGAATTCTAAAAATCTGAATGTAGACCATAACAAAGTAAGAATTGTCTTAACTTTAGATCAAGTGGTCTTGTCCCATATGTGAATGTCTTTACCCTGCAGCTCTTTCTGTTGAACCAAACCTTCATTTTTCATTTTAAAGTACCAATTGTAGTGTGTTTATTGGGCTGTCTTTAGGCTTCTAAAATCAGGAAAACTGTTTGGAGGCAGGAGGAAGAGTTTCTCTTCTCCCGATGTTCCTAATTTAGCTTTTTTGGCAAAAGGTGAAGTTTTCTTTAGTTAAATATGCTGCACATGGCCTACTTCATAGTTCAAAGTCTATGGTTATGTTGAATTTAAGCTTTAGAAAGATATTCCAGACAAGGTGATATATGCTGAATCCATTACAATTTTGTATGCCTTGAGTTTTGGTGCCAATATGAGAAATTTTAATAACGGCCTGATTTTTCAGAATGTTCTAGTTACCTTCTAAGAACCAAATTCTTACCAAGGTTTAGTTCATAATTCAGAATCAGAAACTTTAAAACTTTAAAACTGTAGCCCTTTCACTGAATTTCAGTTTCATTCTTTAAATAAAAAACATACAACCTCAAGTGAATTCACTGTACAGTGAAGCTCACATGTGCACTTGTCTGTGTTTGATAGCATCTTCTGAGATCATTCCATTCCTACTCTCACAGGCCAGAAGATAGAGAAGAAAAGGGAAGCTGCGCAATGGAAATGGCTCTGCACCTGTAATAAACCCAGAAGCAAATTCCTTGTCTGTTCCCCAGATGACTTATGATCACATTGTTGAACAAGAGGACAAAATAGATGTGTCCTGCTACATTGATGAACCCAAAGGTAACTTACTTATGCTCAGTTTATAATTTTTCAAGAGATAAACTTACAAAGAGTTGATGTGATGAAGGGAAAAGTTCTATGAAAAAACAATTCTAAGCTAATCAGTAAATCAAGATGCTTCCAACCAAGGATGGTTGCATAACAAAAATAGGGAGACATGAATGAAAAGAAGTCTTTAATTCCTCTGGTGTGAATATCAAAAGAGCTTTCTTTGTTCATCACTGATTAAGATGTTGGATATATTGTTCATTCATCTTTTTTGAATCATGTCAGATTTGAATGGAAAGCTCAGGTCTACTCCACCTTTTAGCTTTACCTCCTTTTACCTCTGAAGGAAGGAAAGACAAACCAGGAAAAATATTTCTACTTATTTCTACTTAGTACCCTCTTAAACATTGTGCAAACAAATTGCGATAAGAAAAACCAACTATTTTTATGCCCACATCAACTAAGAGGTTTTGATAAGTGGGTTTTTTTCTCTTGCTTCATTTAAAATATAGTGTGTTTATATAAGTGATGGTTGTATTTCAACATGGAAACTGTCTGAATTTCACTGCTGAGTTAACATACTTGCTTTGTCTGTAAAATCCTTTCTTTAAATTAAGTTTGTAATGGAAATATGAATGTTACAATCTGAAATATAAAATGGTATTATTTACTATAAAAGAAAGTTTTCTGGAAAGCTGATTTTTTTCCCTTTTGCATTGATTTTCTTTGTCTGATGAGGCTGGAACTCTCTTCTGGATCTGCTACATCTTGAACTCCTAATCTGAATTGTTCCATACCCAGAGGCATTGCCAGTGCTTTTAAGGTTCTGGGAGAGGGCATGAAGAGTATAACATTTATAACCAAAGTTTCTGCTTTAATTCCACATCTCAGAATATTGCGTTCAGCATATCTATTTGGCTTGAACAGCTTCTCTTGCTGACCGTGTGGCAACAGATTTTGCTGAATGTATTTTTGGAGTTGTGATGCGATGGATGGAAGCAGCCAAGTGTTGAGCTGCTGGCAACAGTCCTGGAAGCCACTAAGATGTTGGGGACTCTGCTGGCTGTACTCAGGACTCTGCCAGTGTATGCTGGCTCACTAAAACTGTGTTCTCTCAATGGTCATAGTTAATCTTAGCGAAGCTCTGTGTTAGGAAAGAGAGTGATGAGAAAAGCCTGTATCTTTTTCTGCCTGACAGGAAAATGAAAGAATTTTCCCCATTTTTTTCTGAAAATGTTTTCTTCTTGTACTTTCATTATAGCTGGTTGAATTTATTCTTATTCTGAGAGACAGCCATACATATTATTCCCTTACCAATTAAATTTTATCTGTTTTTTATTTTCTTTCATGTTTTGCCTTAGCCAGTGGCAAAAGGCAATTTGATTTTCTTTATTCATTCCTTCTGTTGCAAAGCTTCCAGGAATGTAGCTGGAGAACTCATTTTCTCAGTTGACTGAACATTCTTGACACCTCTCGAAAGTTTAAATCTGATTTCTCTCAGTGAAGTTCTTCTTGCCAGAATTAATAGGCTTCTAATCCTGGGGAGTGGAAGTACTAGGCTTCAAGCCTGTAAATGGGGACATTTTTTTCCCTGTCAAAAAGAAAATAGAAAAGGCAGAGAGGATCATCATCCAAAGGAGGTAATTGAAAGGGGCCGTGCCAGCTTCTATTTGATTGTTGCTGTAGTGGAGTATTTAATTCATTGCTGGTGGGGACTGGCGGTTTTGCAGATGATGGCAAACTGCAAGGTTGAATCAGGTCACTTTTCTAGGCCTGACCTAGAGGAGCAGAGCTGCTGCTCTAAACCAGCTTTTTGCTGCTCTGGTCAGGTGTGAGAGAGGGACTGTAGGATGGCCGGAAATAAATGCCAGTCAAAAACAGGCAGCACAGTAATAGTCCTACTGATAAAATTCCTTGTTCTGAGCTGACATAGACAGAAATGTAGTTCAAGTATCCTTGAAAAAGGAGACATTTGCATTAATTTAGCAATGACATTATGTGAACACACCTTTTCTTCTGGAAATAGAATTTTTCTAATGACATCTTGTTCATGTATCCACATCCACCCATCTTACTCTTGGCCTGCACAAACCTTGCTTCGGAGGCAGATCTTCCCAAGCTGGGCAAAAATGCTTTCCTTTATTTCTGTGAAGAAGGTTGGAGAACAGGGAAACCTTGCAAAACAGAGATGATCAACATTAAGGTTTCTCAGAGTTTTCTGTGTCTGTGGAATAAAAACCTCCATGTATTGGATAGTGCATAATATAGAAACAAGACGTTTAATATAGAAACAAGAACATTACCAAATGGTAGTGTTCTGAAACAAAAACTTGATCGCTTAAAAGAAAAATTACTCCTGACCTCTGCACTGTGCTTGGGGTTCTGGGTGTGACTGATGAAAAGTGATCCATAGCACTCAGAATTTGTCCATCCTTACAGAAAAGGAAAGGCCAAAAGTCTTCCACAATAATAGTTTCCTTGTTCAAAATCAAACCTCTTGAAATGAAGCTATTTAAAAAGAAATTATAATGAAAAACTAAAATAAACATAGAGATTATGGAAGTTCTAGAAAATAACTGTGGTGCCGAGTCATAGAATGGCATTCCATACAATGGGTTGGGTTGGAAGAGACCTTAAGGATCAAAGAATCCTGGAATTATTTGGGTTGGAAGGAATCTTGAAGATCATCCAGTTCCAACCCCTGCAATGGGCAGGGCCACCTTCCACTATCCCAGTTTGCTCAGAGCCCCATCCAGCCTGGCCTTGGACACTGCCAGGGATGGGGAAGCCACAGCTTTGGCCACCCTCTGCCAGGGCCTCAGAACCCTACAGGGAAGAATTTCTTCCTAATATTTAATCTAGATACCTCCTCTTTTAGTTTCAAACCATTCCCCTTGTCTTATCACTGTTTGCCCATGTAAAAAGTCCCTCTGCAATGTTTTTGCAAAGGCCCTTTAGGTGCTGGAAGGCTGGAATGAGATCTCCCCAGAGCCTTCTCTTCTCCAGGCTGAACAGCCCCATCCCTCTCAGCCTGTCTGCACAGGAGAGGTCCTCCAGACCTTGGAACATCTTTGTGGCTCTCCAGTGCAGTATTTTTTCATGGGTGTCTTTGCTTCAGCTAAGGAACTATTTCATACCAGGGTGTATGGTTTAATATTTTCATGTAGTGATTTAAACCCCTCAGTCATGTCATCCTTACCTGTGATTATATCCATAAGTATTCTATATATTCCTGAAATTATTCTTTACTTGTACTTTTGCCTATCCTTGTACCTACTCCTCTCAGCAGGGTCTGTTATCAGGATGACAGGATATGTGCAAGCCCTCTGACATCTTTAATTTTCCTGTAAAGTTTAAAGAAGGCACTCAAGTATGAAGATCGTAGTTAATTAGAAAAGCAACAGTGACTGGCAGGTCACAGAGATTGATGCTTCCAGAGAAAGGAAACAGCATTTTGGTGTAACTGGAATTTTCTAGATGCATTTTGAGTTTTCTCTTTAAATATCAGCTATTCACCACAATGCATCCTTCACAAAATGAACCAAATAGCCATTTCATTGTGCTTTTTATTAGGGAGTTAAAAAAAATAGAAAATTGAAAGTTTTTAGTCCTTGAAGGTCAGCCTCCAGGGACAGCTCCAGCAGATGGAATGTATTATTCTCTGTCAGCTCTTGTAGGTTGTATACACAACTCATTATTGTTAGATTTGTCAAAGTCACAAGACTCTCATAGTGCTAAATCTCTGCTGGGCTAAAAATAAAATTCCCTGTTTATCACAGTGCTTTTCTGTTTGATTTTTAGAGTTTCTTGTATGCTGATGTATGCACAGTTTAAAGCAAAACTGCACAAAAGCAAATTTTTACCAAGAGACCGGAGAGCACTGAGGTTTTCTCTGAGCCCCTTACCTTTGTCATCCATCTCACTTAAAATATGAAGTAGTGTTAATGTTGATTTATTCTGTCTGTAATGCCAGTTTGGATGCTGACATTCCAGCATTCACCTGTCTGGAAATTAGTTGTTTTTTCCCAGAGACTGGTTGCATTTCCCATTGGGAAAAGGGGCTGCTTTCCCTTAATAGTGTAGATGGATTACAGTCTGCAGTATATATAAAGAAGCAAACATTTTAAGTGAAGTGAATTCAGAGATTCCAGTGCTGACAAGCTGAAAGAAAGGTGAGAAAAAACACGTGGCCAAAATTAACAGCATAAAGCAAACAGCAAAGCTTTTGAGACTCTGCATAACTGTCAGTAAGTCTGAAAATCATAAATACAAAGGTATGCACCAAATCAGCATGAGAAAGTATCCAGATACCAGGCTTCTGACAAATGCCATGCTCTTAAAAAGGTGGCATTAGCAGATGGTGGTGGTTTTTCAGTGAGAATTTGTGGTCAGTGCAGAGCTGTTCAACATCTGCATTTGTCTGTCAGTTCAGGACTTGTATTGATGGTACTTGCCCAAGTGTAAGAATTTTGGAAACACCACTCTACCAGAAAGTTTTCAGTCTTTACTGGTTCAGCCCTGGCTTCCCTGAGTGAGAACTTCCAGTGAATTCTGTGGTTTATCTCTTCTGGCCTAAATTGATGACAGGACTGGGGATGGGGATGGGGCGAGGGGAGGTGCAGGAAGACAACTAACTCTGCCAAACCCACTCTTACTTCTGTTTAAATCTGGCCTGTTTTGAGGCTTAAAAATTTATTTTTATGTTGTGCCTGATTTAAGACCAGGGTTTGTATCACTGGTCCATTAGACTTGAGCACGGACTTTGTACCAGATGTTCCCAGAGACCATGGCAGTGCAGAATAAGGGAAGGTGTTTGCAGCTCCCTCAGGCTTTTTCTAGACACTATCAGTATGGCAGTGGGGGGAAAATAATAATTATGAGTTGAAAAGGAGGGCATACCCCAGCTTAGATGTTTTGTTGCCAAAATGAGTATTTCTGTTAAAGCATCAAAAATGTAGAAAATTAGAGAAGCAAATAAATTGTATTTGAGTCAACATGTTGATTAATAATGACATAGCATTTTAAAGTGAGATTATAAATTGACCTGATAAATTGTGACATTTTTGGTAAGCTCTTTCACAGTACTGTTGCAGCTCTGATAATTTTTACTCTGAGATCCAGAATATACATAGTCCTGCTGTGTGAGGGTTAGGGCAAGAGAAGGAAGGAAGTCCAACACCCTGTCAAAGAAATCTACTCTTGATGACAAAGTCAGTAATTGAGTTTTTCTTTTGATACATTTGAGGAATCAGCAGAATCTTCTCACTACATGCAGGCCCTTGTGGGGTTTTTGTGACATCTGTGTAGAAGAATCTATTGACTTTGGGAAACAATAGAGAAATGAAATAAGGGTTTTCAAGAATGGAAGTCAGAGTTAATAGATAAGGCATGATAGAAAGTAGGTTAAGAAGTATTATACTAATAATAAGGTCTTCTGTATCAAAAAGGATAAGCGCACGTTATAAAAGTAAGAACTAGAATTTAGTGCTAGAATAACTGAAATCTTCGTCTAATTAGTCCAGATCTAATTGTTACAGAAGAGACTCAAATGCAATGTTTTGGGTTTTTTTGGGTTTTTGTTTTTTGTTTTTTAATAATTAAAGACCTGAAGTATAGTAATCAATTAAAACTGTAAAACTTGCTTTTAAAATTCTTCCTGTTAGGTTGGTATTTACACTCATTCAGTTCCTGGGTATAATTTGCTGCAGAAGGAAGAGGGGAAGTACACAATGACCTGTTGAAATCTCATGTCCTTAACAGGGAGGAATATGATGTTTGTGGTGACAGTTTCTCCTTTGGCTCCTGGGATCCACTTGGGGTCACTTACAAATGTTTCCTAACACCCTTTGACATATTTCCTCATTGCTGTGCAGATCCAGGCTTCATCAGAATTTACCATCTTTTGTTCCCTTTCATGTGTGTGAAATAGAATTTCTTTGTTCTTTGTTACCCTTACAACATTTTTTTTTCCTGCTTCAGGACTGCTTTTTATTTTTACTGACCATTAGTGAAT